TCGGTTTCTTCCCTGCCCAAACAAAGTTATTAATACCTTTCTGCCATTCTTCCAAATTTGCATCTTTTTTGAGTATTGGTATCAATAGTAAATTACCAAATGTAATTTCTAATGTTGGATTTTCCCGTTTACCAGAGGGAGCCACCTTGTGGAGTACAGTGAAACCGTTACCATGGCAACTCCACTGTGCTGTACAATAGAAGCCATTGTATGGCAGTACAGTAGAATCCATTTTAAGGCACAACAGGCTGTGTCTTAACAGAACACACATCCTGAGGGGGTGTTAGGGGTGGCTTGGATTAGCATGCATGCATCCCTCTCAATGCAACTACAGGCAGTCTGCGCCAGTTCAAAATCTGGAAACACCATTGGTAGAAGAGCAAAGGCAATAGAGGTAAAGCAAGATTGCCGACCCAGAGCTGTGACAGTGTTCAATACCACACATAGCGTTGCCTCTAGGCAATTGGTTAGAAATGCATCTTTAGGAAGAAGCAGACGTGGACAAAGGCATTACTGGATGAAAAAGGAGGCTCCACTACAGATAGTCCTCAACTGATAACAGTAGTTTACGAGTCATTGCTCTCGTAAATTGCCAGTTGAGACATCACGTGACCAAATTACTCAACGCTGTTTGAGGCAGTGATTAAGTGAATGCTGTGGTGGTTAGACAAATGCCATGTTTGTTGAACAAACCCAGTTTAACCAATGGGATTTTTGCTGAAGTGGTGGTAAACAGCAAAACACAGGCATGGGACCACGGGCTATTGCAAATGGCTGTAAAGATGAACTGCTTGCCTAGCACCCAAAATATAACCATGCATTTTGAATTTTTGAAATCAGGTCGTAAGTAGCTGTTGGGGAATGGCTATCAAAACTCAGTAAGCAACCAGTCAGAAGTTGAGAACTCCCTGGATCTGCAGGCAGGTCCACCTAGAAAACCCATCTGGTACCTAACTAGGTAGGGAAGAAGAAGAAGAAGAAGAAGGAGAAGGAGAAGGAGAAGGAGAAGGAGAAGGAGAAGGAGAAGGAGAAGGAGAGGAAGAAGAGGAAGAGGAAGAGGAAGAGGAGGAGGAGGAAGAGGAGGAGAAGAAAAAGAAGAAGGAGAAGAAGAAGAAGCCTCAAGATGTTTCTAAATGTACCTTACTGCAACGATATGCAATTATCTTCACGTTTTTCAAAAAAACCACATTCTCAATTGATCCGGCAATGCTGGATATGTTAATAATGGCTGCCTTGCTGCTGCTCAGCCCTTGGCACGGACTCCTCCGGGCTGCCCTCTTCAGAAGGGGCAGAAATGCCTGGTAGAGAGAAGAAAAAAGAGGAGGAGCTACAGTGAAGCCTAGAAAAAGAACTGTGCATTAACAGGAAAAGGTCTCCTGTCATCTTCTGCAAAGGGACCTTCATAGAGTCATCTAGACCTAAGCCCAACTGGGAAAACTACTCTAATGCTCTTTGGTGGGCTACCCTTAAAGATGGGTCAATGCCTCCAGTTGATGCAGTGCCTGGGTGATGGATAAGGAAGGTCTAGGAGCCATGGTGGTGCAGTGGTTACAATGCAGTATTGCAGACTAACTCTGTCCACTGCCAGGAGTTCGATTCTGATGGGGCTCAAGGTGGACTGAGCCTTCCATCCTTCCGAGGTTGGGAAAATGAGGACTCAGATTGTTGTGGGTGACATGCTGACACTATAAACCACTTAGAGGGCTCTAAAGCACTATGAAGCGGTTTGGGAGTATTTTCTTCCCTATAAGGGAGCTGTTGCCACCAATGTTCCAACCTTTTCCCAAATCAATGTACAATGTCTACTTCTTTGTTTTCACCATTACGATATTTCCTTGCATTCTAGCCGCACCGAATTCGGCTGTTCAATCTTCAACAACATACCCATTCTCTTTGCTTCGCTTCCTCATAAACAAACCTGAGTCATTTGCAGTGGGCCAATCGTATTGACAGAGTAAACTCTCATCATATCCTTGGCATTTTCTGTTTCCAGATCATTGGGAGATGAAGTGCCAGCGTTGTTGATTAGGATGTTCATCCCTCCTTCTCCAACACATTTTTCCACTTCTTTCAGAGCTGACTGGATGCTTTCAAGATTAGTGACATCTAAGGAAAAGCAATTTTATTTAAATTTCAGCAACATAGCCTTTTAGAATGGCAAGGGAAGAGTTTCCTATATGCCTATTCTTGTAGCTAACCACCTTATGGAATAGCAGAATAGAGAACAGAATTTTCCTGTTTTTAACTGGGGGGGGGGGGAATCATACACCATACAACTGAAACTTAAAAGAAACCACAGTGGATGGCATCATCACCACCACCAATAAAATTTATAGCAATAGCAATAGCAGTTAGACTTATATACCGCTTCATAGGGTTTTCAGCCCTCTCTAAGCGGTTTACAGAGTCAGCATATTGCCCCC